ATCAGTCCTTGCAAATTCTCACCCAGGTCCAGATCTCTTGCCCTTCTTCCATGTAATTATAAGGAGTTAGGAGAGATATCATATTACTGTGAATGTATATGGAATGTACATGGAACAGAATGTATATGGAACAGTTAAACACAGGTCCATTTTAATTACCATGAAATAGATCTTTTAAAAATAATCTTTAAGATTAAGTAGACATAAAGAGTGGCTTTCCAGGGGAGGAGTTTTTATGGAGGAGATACAGTCTGCGGCTGAATGACGTGCTACCTCATAGATGAGAAGAGCAGGGGATGGGGTGAGGTTGGGAACAGGGAGCATTCTAAAAAGGGATGAGAATGCAGGGGTGATGCTTATTTTCAGAGACAAGGGGAAAGGAAAGAGATAAAGGAGAATCATTGACTATTGAACTGTTAATACTTAGAGATTAATCAAAACAAAACTTCGCTCTATGAATGAGGCCACTATATCAGAGAGGTTAAGCACACTGCCCAAGATCCCACAGGGAGTTGGTGGCAGATCCAGGACCGAGGGCTCAAGACTTCCATTCAGGACATTGTAAATGAGATTTAAAGGTACAAATGGAAGACTCCAGAGAAAGCAGAGGAATTTTCCTAGGATCTGAGTTTTAAGAAGATTTCTTGTCTGACCAAGGTATCAGAGGAAAAAAAAACAAGAATTAATTTTGTTCTCCTTGGAGAACTAAGGGCTTGCTCATTCACAATCATTCTATGTGAATCCCACCCACCAATGGACAGAACAGCAGTCAGCATGGGAAGCAGTACTCTTTCCTAGGATTTCCCAGCCAGTTCCCGGGAGCTGAGAAGATGGTATTGACTTGTAACATCATTTATCACTCATGGAGCTTCTACTTACACTGATTCTGCAAAATTAAGAAAAGCTTTCCCTGTGAGAAGCAGAAGTAAATGATTTGCCAGCATAACGTGTAAAATTGACTTCACAGGGCCATCAATTTTATGCCATGAAGATATTAGATGTTATGCAACAAAATGCCAATCCAAGGACTCGAACTGTGAAAATGACATAGCGTTTGGATAACACCCTCTTCAATGTCATACCCCAATGTCCTCTAATTGGGTTCACCCCAATTTGAGACCAAATTTCTATTGATCACTGACAGCTTGTGTTCTGCCCATCCTTCAAGAGGCCATTGTGGCTGATGCAACCCTAACACTCACCTGTGTCAGGAAAGGAACCCCTCCCCCCCAAGTCTGGATAATACATTTATCAGCTACATTTAGTGGATGAGAGAGCAAACTCTGGAAATCTAGATCTTTGCCAAGAACATGAGCTCAAAGCCATGCACACAGCACTTTGTGGGACAATAAACTTTATGAAACTTGTTTTTTCTGCTCTCCAGATGTTCTCTTTGTCCTCCTTAATTTCTCCAGACAATTGGCCCAACTATTAGTTCTTTCACAATGAAAACTAATGATACAGTGTCCAATATTCATTAGCATTCCTCTCCCCAAGGCTCAGGGGTAATGGTTCCCAAAGTGTGGATCCCAGCCCACAGCATCCCCATCATTTAGAAATACAAATATAGGGTCTCTTGCTAAATCATCTGAATCAAGAATTCTGGGGGAGGGGCCCAGCACTCCATGTGTTAATAGGTCTCTAGGAAATTCTGATGCAGTTCAAATCAGAGAACAGTTTCACTGAGGGAATCTGGTACATGATCTTTCTCAGGAATGAGAGTCAGAGACCCCAGACAGTCTAAAATTACTTCAAAAAGTCACAGATTTCCTGCTCTACGGGGATGCGCCCACAGTCAACGTACATGCCCTTTACCGGAATCAAACCTGGGACTCTTCAATCCATAGGTCAGTGCTCTAGCCACTGAGCCAAACCGGTTAGGGCATTATTACTTAATTTTTTCAGACTCATTGGTCACTGTATCGGTACATGAAGGAGTAGAAAAACACTGGATGAATGAAGCAGTTAATAAGCAGTGTGAGAAAAATAATGAAGGCATTGTATTAAAGAAGATCAGCTTGCTATCCTACTTGGTGAGGGGCCATGTGTCTCCTTGACACACCCTCTGTTGGGGGCAGCAGGCTTGGCTCCTGGTCTCCTTTTAGCCAACAGAAATCCAAGGATTTCTCCACGCTCAGCCAGAAGGAGACACAGCTTTCCAAGCGCCCTGCATCCCTGTGATTTGCCCCCCTCAGCCATCTGCTGAGAACACGCAGTTCTGCCTCGAGTGCTCTTGGGGGACATGAACCTTCCTTTGGCATAATTGCTCAGTGCTAAGTCACTTGCTGTGCTGGTACCAACTTCATGGTCAGTGCCAATTGCTAGCATGCCTGGGGCTGCTATTTTCCTTTCCTAAAGGCCACGAGTCCTGCTGTTTCACATGGCAGAGTGAGAATGTGTCAATCGCAGATGGACAGAGCAAGGACCTGTAGACAGCTTTGAGGAAACAGGCTTTGAATGTGTGGCTGCCTGCCTGGGTTTTGGGAAGTCATGTTCCCTCTCCTTTCCAGCATCAGTTGTAGTCTGAGAAAAATAAATCTCTCTCTCTCTCTCTCTCCCTCTCTCTCTCTCTCTCTCTCTCTCTCTCACACACACACACACACACACACACACACACACACACGTGCACTGAATCCTTTGATTAAATAAAATACTCAACAAGTTGACTAATGAGTTTGCCGACCACTGCATTAGACACAAAGAAGTGCTGACTGTGTCCTTGGCCTTAAGAAATTTGTAGTCTAGGTATGGGGACCAGATAAATATGTCTAAAAATAAGTGTTAATTATGAGAGAAATCATTTACCAAACTGATAAAAAGTATATTCTCAATGCAATCCAGAATGAGTTGCTAAATGAATGAAATGAAGATAGGTTACAGGATCCTGAAATGTGGCCTGGGAAAGGTGATCCATAACTTCCCTACTTGCTTGGACTGTGTTCCTCTATCTTCTCACTGGATGCATTTTCCTCTCCTTTCAAGTTTCACTGTACATACCACTTCCCATCAGAAGTCTTCCAGGACCTCCTCTCCACCTGATGCAATTCTCTTAATGTTTAGTCTCCCATTCTATTTGTCTCCTTAGCAAGAATTATAATGGTTGTAGTTTAATTGCTGGTGTAATTATTTGCTTCCCTCTTTATCCCCAACTAGACCCTGAGCTGCTGGAGGGCAGGGACAGTATTTTTTTTGGCTCACCACTATATACTGGCACCAAGCACAATGCCTGGCACAAAACAGAGGGTCAAGGACCTGATGAGCTTTGTGAGAAACTAAAGATGTAAGTATGAGGGTCACTTGCATAGACAAAATGATCAAAGCTTTGGGTGAAAAAGATCATTTATTCATAGGATGCTTACCTGGATCTACATCTATTTCTTGGTATAGGATTTTACTTTTATGCATAAGGGATGCGCATCATCTAAGAAAAATCTTGGAAAGGCTCACTTATGTTTCTAAAAGATGCCATTTTAATCACCTCTTAAATTTATTTATACATTATCGAAGTCCATTTTAAACTCATTCATTTATTCATTTATCCATTCAATGCCTACCTTTTGGATGCTGTACCTGGCAGGACCCTAGAACTATCTGCCATCAATTCTTTTCCAAAGTCACAAGAGAGTTTATATTTATGAAATATACGCCAGGTTCTCTGTCTGCCTCCCCTCAGCTATACTTCCACATTGGGCCTTTACCTTTCATTAAAGGAATAAGAAAGAATCCTATGAAAGTAATCACTATATTTGCTAGAAATGGGTAACTGAGGACATGTCTGTCTTGTCACTCAGTGTTCACCTGGGAGACGTTTCTTTTTAGTGATAAGTGGCACAAGGCATCATAAAAAACAATTAAAGAAACCAGCATGCATATGTGCCCTCTCTCTACCAGGCTGACTCTTATCTCCACATGGAACTGAGGCTGGTTTTGTGGAGTTAGAGGCTCAGATAATTTGGAATCCTTCTGAGAGAAAAAAGTACAAAACTACAAATAAAAATGTAACCCAGAGCCTTGAAGAAATTCACAAGAGAAAGGGGCTCTGAAGTTCAGCTTCACTGGTTTCACAGTAAATCAGCATCCGACCTTGGTTCAGTGAAACTGGTGTCCTCCGCCCCTTTCCCTGCCACGGTTGTTCTGACCTTGTTTATCTTGCTTTCTTCTCAACCCCTGAACTTCGTTTTTTTAAGCATTTGATCTCACAATGATTCCTTTGATTCTAGCCAGCAGAAAGCTCTCCCTGTGGCTTAAGAAGCATCATAAGTTGCTCTATTTGAGATGCATAAAGAATGCCTTCTCCAATCGGAGTGTCTGATACTTGGGCCCTGGGACTATTTCTCCATTTAGAGCTTCCCTGAGCACCTAAAGTTCTGGGTACAGTAGGAAGGGAAGAAAACATGGAAGGGTGTTATAGAAGCAAAATGATGGGATTTGGAGGGAGGCCGACCTGGTTCAAGTTCTAGCTCTGCCACTTTGTAGTGTGGTGCTTAAACCCAACCTCTCTGCGTCTTGGTGTTCTCAGTGACAAATATATATACACTAGTGGTTTTTACTTCATATCAGTGTTGTGAAAGTTAAGTAAAAGCATTTATTTATTCACCAAATATTTATTTAGGCCCTGTTCTGGGCTATTTTGGGCACAAGAGGCTTGGAATACATGCAAATGCACCGTATTCCTTGTGTGTATAGGTTCTCACAGTTGAATTGGGAGATGGAAATCTACAACGTATCAGGATACAGCTAACACAGACACACAACCAAAGCAGAATAGGTGCTCAATAAAAAGTTGTTAAATAAATGAAGGAATTCAGAAAAAAAATGATTAATTTTGCAGAATAGGTAACTTTTCACCTATTCGTAGCACCATCCTTATGTAAATATAATGGATATGACATTCTATTAGGAAATCATAAAATGTTGCATGTAAAAGAAAATAAAACCAGGAGAAAAACAAGCATGAACTGAATGAGAGCAAATGGGAGGAAGAGAGACCATTGACTGACCTGGCCAAGCGTGCACTCCATGCCTCCAAGGAAGTCAGCTTCCTTCAGCCCATTGTGGTTGCTGCTGATGTCATGGACCTCAAACCGCAGGCGCTGCACCTCTTCAAAGTAAAAGTCCACAGTAAACAGTTTTGAATACACTGGGTTTATGCAGGTGCGAATCACCTCTGTTCTGTCAACCTGCAAGGAGAGAGGGAGAGAAAACCCATCAGGGATTAGGGCTTTTTATTGTTAACCTTTAGGCCAATTAATCTTATGGTGCTTCACCTTTTTGCAAACCATAAATGCCCATGGCAAGTGGTTCATAAATCTTCAAGGAAAGACCCTCAGAGAATAAGCCATGTTTCAAGGAGGAAAATCTTATTAGACAGGATAATCTGAAGCTTTGTATTTAAAGATTTAGTGCTGTTAGGTAATATCGCAGCAAGATGGATCAATTATTAATAACTGCCTGGAGCCTTAGGATGACAGAGTCTGAGGGCACCTGTGGGCTCACAAGGAGAAAAATCGGTCATAGATTAGTGATGTCTGGTGGCACAGTAATAGTAAATGACTGTGTAGGTGCCTATTTTAGCCAATCTTACTCTACATAGGATATGTAACTCATAATTCCCAGAAAAAAAATGCCAGGAGAATGGATATGAAGGTAACTGCCTTGGTCTTGAGTATGCCTTACTTTGGGGTTATCATGTTTAGTTAGTCATTTTGATTCTCTAGGCTTCAGTATCCTTATCAATAAAATGAGAATTAGAGGATGAAAAGCCACATTTGCACATTCATAAAGGGCACTCATTCTCCAGTTTCCAATCTCTTCTCCTTTCATGAATTTCCCTGCCTGGCCTCTGGACATATCTTTGCAACATCTGATCCATATTTGTAGAATAATGAGCCATACAATAAGATATTTAATTATATTCATATGGTGTCTTTTGATAGAGAATTTCAAAATGATCCCCAAGAAGTAATTTATAGGTGGATCTGACATCCTTATGACACAGATAAGGAACCTTCTCTCCTGTGGGTGGAAGAATAGAGTCAAAGGCAGGCTTAGAGTCCATCCAATTCTAGTCTATTTCCCACTGCTTTAACCACCCCAAATGGCACAAATGGCTGATTTGCACCGACCCTTCTGCTTTTCTTCTCACTTCTTCATTTTCAAATGATGATCCCACATGGGTATAAAGTTCACAGTGGCATTGAGCCAGGCAGCTCAGACAGACTATCCAAGGCAAGCTCCCAGCATGCAACACTGAATGAAGAGGTGTGTTTTTTGTTTGTTTGTTTGTTTTTTGCTTTGTTTTGTTTTTTTTAAGAAAATGACTGATTGGGAAGAAATTAGGAAATACACATTTGCATTACCAAGGTAGGTAAGTTCCAAACATAATCTCAGGGCCAGTAAAAATCATAACAGCACATAGGTGCTCAGGAAAAGAAGGAGAATGGTGATAGAAGACATGCTCTCAAAGCTAAATGCTTATTTGAAAGATGTCTCAACCCTTCTTCATCCCCAGCCATTACGGGAGATGATGATCTTTTCTGGATACAGAAGCCAGGTTTAATCTGAGCAACAGAGCCCAAGGTAGCTCACGTTTCTCCTTGGGATGTGGTAAGGTCAAGGTGATTGTTTCCAAAAGACTGTCCACTGACTAATGTACTGGCTGCATCAGAATCAACCAAGCAGCTTTCTGTAAAACTCAGATTTCTGTTCCTTCCCCCAGCAATTTTGATTCAATAGTATAAGGTAGGACTTAGAAATCTGTACTTTTAAGAGTGTCCCAGGTAATTCTGATGTAGGAATAACATAGTAAAGGATTTGAGAAGATGCAGAGTATATCTCTTACTCTTGTGAGGTCTTGTTTGTTTTGTTTTTGTTAAGATTTATTTTAATCTAGCTGGCTCTCTGTTACCACGTCTTCAAGAAGTGTGCTTATCACCTCTCCTCCCTACTCATAATACCTGATGTAGTCATGTTGCTCTACAGTTTTCAGAACATGTTCACATCCATTTTTAACTTGATGCTTATAGCAATCATGGGGTGCAACTGCACGTTATTTTATATGTAAGAAAAATCAAGGTCAAATATCAGGTGGTAGAATAGGCATATGAGTTCATGTCTCCTGACCTCAAAGCCTGGACTGTTTTCCTTAATTCAAGTTTATTCATGAGCATTGCTTGAAAATGAAAATGAAAAATGCAGCTGGGTTATTGCATGACAGTGATAGACTCAATCATCGAATATTGCTTTTGATGAAATGTTTTTAAAACATTTTATGTACAACATTTTTCAGTTTAACCCTAAAGTTTATAATAGATAAAACTTATGGAATGCTCTTATTTTAAAAATGCATTATTCAGGTATAATTCACATATAATAAATCACATCTATCTAAAGTGTGCAATTCAACAAGCTTGACATATGTACATACATGTGAAGTCATCACCACAATCAAGATAGTGAACATAACCTTTGCCCCCAAAGTTTGTTCATGCTCCTCTGTAACTCCTTCCTGTCACCCCTCCCTTCGCACATTCCCAGGCAATTCTTTTTAGATTTATTCATTGTTATGTGCATCAATGGTTCACCTATTTTATTGCTGAGTAACAGTTCTTGATGGGCATTTGGATTGTTTCCAGTTTGGCTATTACACATAAAACTCCCATGAATATTCATGTACAAGCATTTGTCTGGCCATATATTTCTTCTTCTCTTGGGTAAATACCTTGGGTGAAATAAGTGTATGTTTAAGTTTTAAAATTCTATTAGGTATGTAATGATATCTCTTTGTGGTTTTCATTTGCATTTTCCTAATAACTAATGATGTTGAACATGTTTTTTATATATTTACTTGCCATCTTATGGTAAAGTACCGATTCAAATCTTTTGACAGGCACTCTCTTTTTATCCTTATGACAAGACAGGAGGCCTGCTGCACGACATTCTTACACTGGAGGGAGGGGTTGTTCCTCAGCCTGGACTGCACCCTCTTGAGGGGTCCTTAGAGTTGCTGCAGAGGCGATAGAGGCTCCTGCCACCGCCACTGCGCTCACCAGCTGTGAGCCCAGTTTCGAGCTGAGCAGGGCTCCCCCTGTGGGAGCACACTGACAACCAGGGGGCAGCTCCTGCATTGAGCGTCTGCCCTCTGGTGGTCAGTGCATGTCATAGTGACCAGCATTCTGCCATTTGGTCAATTTGCATATTATCCATTTATTATATAGGATTATGAGTTAGGTACTATTATTATCCCATTTTATCAGGAGAGAGAGAACCTGTAAGTTTTCCAATTTCACACAGCTTGCAAAAGGTAGAATTTAAACCTAGATCACCAAGCTCGTGAGTCTTTACCTAAACCTGATTGCTCAAAGTAATGCACAAGCCAGACAACTAATGTAAAATGATGAGGTGGTAGAAAAAGTCATTAAATAAGCCTGTGGTTGTGTCCCTAGTGATCTGGTTTGCCCACTGGGCATAAAGGAGATAAAATGGAGGTTCTGAACACTGACCAACCCAATCCAGATTGGGTTGTGTAGAGACAAGGTATATCTTTAAGAAACAGTTAAAGGTATGCACATAATGACTGTCCTATTTTGGCTTATAAGGGCTGCTGGGACCAAGGGTGGTGAATATCTTGCCCACGGGCCCTATACAGCCTGCCAAATCATTTGGGCTGGCCTTGCCAAGGCATTAGTGGTGAGTTAATTATTAAATGTTTGAACAAATATAGCAGGCTAATTTTTAAGTTGATAATTTTGTGTGGCCCACAAATGATGCTATAAATATCCAAATGGCCCTAGGCAGAAAAAAAGGTTCCCCACCCCTGCTAGGCAAAGGAGATGAGGTTCTTGGGAGGAGAGCACTAAACAATGTGATGCTATTATATTAGTGGGGAGAAGGTGAAGGCAGGGACCAAAACCAGTGCCAGTCACTGAACGGTCTAAGGTTTCCTGGGGAAATATGAGCCCCTAACCCAAGGGCAGCAGAAGCTGGTGAAGCATGACTTGTGGGCGGGAGAGAAAGGATGCCTCCAGGGCAGGCGTATAATTAGGTATTCCTTCAAACTGATATTCTTTAAACATCTCCGCAATATTCATTTAGTGAGGATAAGAAGAAAATTAATTTTCTCAGAATAAAGAAAGGGTAGCTTTCTTTATGTTCAAAAATAGAGGATTTATTACAGACAATTTTTCAAACCATATAACTTCCAAGGGGACATATTAATCCGCATAAAATTTCAATAATAAAATCAAAGCACTGAACCACCAGAACTGAGTAGCATTATTCTATTTCAGGATTTTGGCTGTTTGTGGCTGCTGATTTCAAGTGACTGCCCTATAGTCGAACAAATAAATTGTGAGTCTCAAAACCACTCAGCAGAGAGCGGTTGGTGCTAGTGAGATACGACTTTTATTTCCCATTTAAGTGATATTTCTACTTCCATAGGATGAAAATTCTTTAACATTTGTTGGTTATATAAAGAGTCCCATGTGGAATCAAATTTACTGGTGCCATTTTTGTGATATGTCTACATGCTGAGAGTGCATCGCTTCTGGGGGCCTGGCTGCCCTGCCCACCAGCTTCTAAAACTGAAAACATGTCTGATATTGGCAACCTTTGCTTCTTTAACTTAAAAAACCCTGGGCAGAAGCTGACCTTGTACCTTGAAACATTTGTCTAGCATAGTGGTTCTCAATGGGGGTAATACTCACTTTCCCAGGGGACATTTGGGAATGTGTAGGAGTTTTTTGGGTCGTCGTGAAGAGGTGACATCACTGGACACTAAATATCCTACATTGTGGACATTAATCCTGATTAACACAGAACTCCACATTCCTCAATGCTAGTAGTTTTCTATCGCTTCAACCCACCTTCCACCTGAACTAAACAAATAGAGAAACTTCTCCAAGGGCTCTTTGATTTTCAGAACAAGCCACGTAAATAGACTTATTAGCCAAGGTAGGAACAATGAGTGGGATCCTCCTAAAGAGAAACTTTGGAAGTCACCCCATTTCAAGTAAAAATTTTTGTAGGAATAACACACTTCAAGGAACTGACTCTTTAGGAAATCATTTTGACCTCTGCCTAGTAAAGGGTTTCATGCCTCCTTGAAATGGATGGCAAGTTGGTGGTGACCAAAGAAGATGGTAACTTTTCTGCTCAGGCAAAGAAAGGGGTGAGAGAGAAA